TGACGAGGCTAATCATGAGGTTTTGGTAACTTTTATGACCGACGTGAGTTCATGGGGATAAATTCGATGCCTTCTGATAAGCCGAATTTCTGGAGAATGGCCAGCATAGCCACAGTTCCCAACAGGAGTCCGAGTAAGAACATGCCGATGCCCATTCCTGCCATGTCACCTGAAAGAAAGGAGGAAGAAAGAATTGTTTAATGCGTGGCTTAATTGACAGAGGGTAAGGAGTGAAAGGATACAGAGAATAATGAAAGCATCTAAATTTACAGACGGGAAAACTCTTCACTACCTGGCGTGTACATTGGCGCACTCTTCGTCATCTTGTGAAAGTTAAAACGTCTCACTTCGTCCATTAACTTCTCCGTAAAAGACGCCTTCGATATATCAGGAATGACTGGCTCATTGTCTGTCTTTCCTCTCCTTACTAGAGTTTCCCCTTCAGCGTGTGGCGCAACACGACCCGTTTTCTTTGACGAAATTTCGGGGAGACTTGTGTCTTCCTGAAGGTTTCTATGGTCCTTCTGCGTTCTGTCTGTGCCGCCGTCGACTGTTGTCTGTGAGGATTTCAGGGGATGGCAGCTGTCCTCAAACATCTCCCGAAGACTGTCTTCGTATGCTTGCATCTGCTTCATGTGCTGTTGTAGTAGAAGGAATGTATTAAATAGAGACGGCGTAGCAATGGAGTAACTGCAGTCGCATTTTCGTCATCATTTCAGTTCTCTGTTAATTTTGAGTCTATCGCTAACGTAATTAACGTAATATATAAGCATGGCTATGCTGTGTTCAACTGAAGCAAGAAACCTCAAACTTTAGAGACATAAGATTCGTTATCGAGTTAGTATAAATAAACTTGGTTCAGGATAGGATCACCCACCGTTTGCAATCATTAATATAATCCATAAAATCTAATGACCAAGACCACCAAACTTAACACACACACTAAAAATACACAAAAAATAAAAACGTGACTTGAAACTACGACCCTCATGCAGCATATTCTCCCGAGCCTGTATCACTCCCAGAGAACGACCCTCCGACACCCTCGCTTTACCCCGGGAGTGTCGTAACCCTCGTCGAACAGGAAGACGATCAGCTTCCCCATCGACGCCTGGAGTGTAGCGACGACGTCCTCGAGGGGAGGTCCCACAGAAGGAGGGAAGTCGATGCCGTCTACGGGCGGTTGGTCCACAAGGGTGAACTCGCAGTACAGGCGACCGTCCCTCTCGTTGAACTCCACCTGCAAGACGTTGTTATGAAGCAGCAGCATGGTGAAAAGTCCTCATAATCATTGTGTATTTTCCCGTTCTTGGCTTCGTTGTTTTGTGCGCAGCTTATTTAGCAAGGATCTCTTACAAGTATTATGGGATGGACGTGGGTATACGTGTGTGCACGTGTAATACAAAACACATGGCACTAAATAAAAGGGGTATACGTGTACACATATGCAATACAAAACATACGACAATCAATGAAAGAAGTTAATTTTAACTACACCATAGATACAATATAAAGACGTATTTATCCATCCCCAACTTCCTCACGACATACCAACCAAACCAAATGACTTGAAACGACTTCACAACCTAATACCATCTCCCCTCACCCCCCCCCCCCCACCTCGCACCCCTCACCCCAACGACTTTACAACCTAACACCATCTCCCCCCTACCCCCACCCACCCACCCCCACCCCCACCCCACCCTCACCCCCTCCCCCACCCTCCCCCTCACCCCACACCCCACCCCCCACCTTCACACCCCCCACCCCTCACCACACACCCCTCCCACCGCACTCACCGTCATGTGCTGGATGCGAATGGAGGGGACGCTCAAGTAGGTTTCCAGCGTGGCGTGGATGGCACGGAGGAACCGGTCGGGTTTGTCGTCGAAGTCGTCGCGAAACTCTCCCGGGAACGCGATCTGGAAGCGGCGGATGTGGGCGTGGCCTCGGAAGCAGGGCGTGATGTCGAAGACCGTCATGTCGAGGGCGCTCTGGTCGAATCTGGGGAGGGCGAGAGTTTCGAGGTCGCGTGCGGGAGGAGAAATGGGGATGATGGTGGTGGTGGTGGTGATAGTGATGGTGGTGTGGTAGTGATGGTATGGTGGTAGGATGATGTGGTGGTGGTGATAGTGATGGTGTGGTGGGTGATAGTGATGGTGGTGGTGATGGGATATGATGATGGTGATAGTGGTGATAGTGTGGTGGTGATAGTGATGATGGTGGTGATAGGGATGATGGTGATGGTGGCGATAATAATGATGGTGATGATAGTGATGGTGATAGGGATGATGGCGGTGATAATAATGATGGTGATGATGTTATTATCTTAAGCAACTACAACATTCTTTATCTTGCTATCATTATTTCATTATCGACCTAATTATTATTGTAAGTACCAGGAAAACACATACTAATAATCATATCAACTGTTATTATTATCATTAACATCATCTTACTTCTTCACTGCTACCAATACCATCATCATTATTATCATCATCATCACCATCATGAACAGCATTATCATGAATATCATTATCAAATTAATTTTCGATGTTACTGTTGCTCTTGACCTTGTTATTGCCATCAACGTAAATATCTTTTTATTCTATTTTTGTACTTTTAGCCAAGTCTCACAGCCGGTTTGTTAAAATTGTGCAAGACCCGACCCAATAAATATTCGTAAATACAGACATGCATATACACAGAAATAAATGGATATCTATCTATATACCTGATAGATATACATTTATCTATCTATTTGCCGGGTTGATATACATGTCCAGACTGATAAATATGCATTTATTTCTTTATTTATGCAAGTATACGGATATTCTTTGGGTCGGGCCTCACACCATTTTAACAAACCGTGTGATTATCTCTAGTATTAAAGAAAAAAAAGTATGAAAGTGAAATTTGGAATTGATAGCAGACACCGAGCATAAGGATGAAAATCTTATTAATGTCACCAATGCCGTTAGACCTTACTTGAAGATGTTCTGCTCCAGGGCATAGAAAGTGACATATTCAGGGTTGGAAGGACTGGTGAAATCTTGCTGAATCTTGATAAGAACTGGATCAGGATACAGCTTATCCGGAAGGGGTCCTGATCCTGCGTCCTCGCGCCATCCCTCCTGTAGTAGGCGGAGAGTGACAGGACTTGTCGCTAAATAGACTCTCAACCGCAGTTTAAAATGACGTTTGGGGACGAGTGACAAATCAGTGTACGCTTTGTTATCTTTTTTCTTTTAATATTGCATTTTATTTGGCTTTCGGTGTTTTAATCTTGCGAAGAATTTAGTGCCTTGGGTATTTTCAGTTTTTTTTAAGAAAAAATAAAATATCCCAAACTATAAATATGGCAAATAAACTTAAAATAATGGATCTCCTGAACCACGCCATGGATAATCTAACTCTAAAAAGAAGAATGAAAAACAACAAACAAAAGAATAACCGTAATGAACAAAACAACAACAATCTCTTAGGGAGAAAAAATAACAACACAAGGGAAGCCATGGAAAATACAACAAACAAGAGAATAACCGTAATGAACAAAATAACTACAATTTCTTTATAACAACACAACAAGGGAAGCCATGGAAAATACAACAAACAAGAGAATAACCGTAATGAACAAAATAACAACAATTTCTTAGAAAAATAACAACACAAGGGAAGCCATACCTCAAGGAAATAGACTTCGTACGTTAGCTTTTCCTCCACTGTCGTGTTGCCAACCTTCTGGTCGAGTCTCCCAACCCAAACGTCACAGGGAATTCCTCTGGCCTTTTTCTGCAGCAGGAAGAATGGTCAGAGATTAGGCTTGTTAGTGTCTGTTTGTTAATACGGGCATGCAACAGGAACAACGAAGGGAAGGGCAAGAAAACACACGAATATGTCGAAGGCCTTTTCACTATTGCTTCGTGTCTTCGTTTGGATGTAAGGATGTTGGACCCCACCGACTTGGAGGTAATCTAAAATCGTAGTTTTATTGGCAATGACATACTACTTCGACAGATCTAATATTAGCCTGTCATGATCGAATTAGCTCATATCCCCCCCCCAAAAAAAAAACTCAAGTTCCACGCGGAAAACCCTAAAACCGTGAGCTAAATTCGGCAATTTTTTTGTAGCGTCTCCCCTCGGAACCAGCAGTCTAACCTTTCCATAATACGTGAGGTTGGACACTTGGCCGAGACCGAAGAGTGTCAGCGGGTCCTTGATGGTCACTTGGCCACTTGGGTCGACGATGGTGTCATAGCCAGTGTCAGGGATGGTGATGGCTGTGCAATTTCCGAGGCCTTTGTCAATTATGTACTCGACGCCGCTCCTGAAGTCCTTTTGGCGAACAAAGAAAACGGGTGAGGGCGGAATCGAAGAAAATGTGGAAGACCTATAACTTACCATTTCATAAATAGATAAATATATATATATATGAATAAATAGATAGAAATAACATTTCATAAATAGATAAATATATATATGAATGAATAGGTATAAATATATATATGAATGAATAGGTATAAATAAATAAATGAATAGATGAATTAACTTGCCGTTTATTCATCTCACATAAATTCAAATATTCCTTCCACACCTTCAGTTCCTTTCATCGGTAAGTAGACTGTTTCTAAATAGAAATATCAAACTCACGATAATATATATATATATATATATATATATATATATATAATATATATATATATATATATATATATATATATATATCTCCGAAATGAAAAAAACATACCGTTTCCAAAAAGAAATATCAAACCCACGATACCAAAACACAAAACAAACACCCCCGAGATTTAAAAAACAAAAAAATCGTCGCAACAAAACAAAAACAAAAAAATCTTTACCCTGATGACGGCTGCTTCGTTGATCCCGACGTAAAAGCCCTCGATGGTGAACGGGTCCGGGATGAAGTCTGCTCGGGTGATCTTGCGGTCAAAGTCGTACCAGTTCTGGCGGAAAGAGAGAGAAAGAGGTGGGGGGAA